TGCTCCTTTGAGCGGCATTCATGAAAACCCTTCACACTCCACGCTGCCGTTCTAAACTATTCACGCTTGTGCTGAAATGTAGATCGGAGTCTGCCATATTTTTACGCAGTCCTCCCTCCCTAAGTCTTATCACAGTCTCTCTCTTGCCCCGTGAGATCCGTCTGCTCTCTCCCTAGTTCATGTATTTCACTTGACCCCTGCCACCCAATCTGTGCTACTCGAGACGTTATTAACCATCACCTGCGTCTAGGTAACTAATTCGAGGTTAACACTTCTGAGTAAGTCTCATGCTTACGCCTTTGCTACATGGGCCACGTCTATGGTACAACAGACGTACTGTCAGCCATCTAGCTCCAATCTCTGCCATGTCTATCTTGTTTCTATCTCTAATATCAAGTCTATGACTTCCTATGCCATAGTCTCTCGTGTGCCAATCCACAAATGTAGTGGTTCTACTTGTTTTGATTAGGCTCACTGAAGACGTATACTCTTTGCTTCTGAATCTTCCTTTCTTATTCCCTTGCGATCTCTTTTCCTAAAATTAAGGATATTATTTTGTTACAGTCGTCTTCTTTGTGTTGATCTTATTGTTGCCTGGTCTTTTTAGAGTTTGCAATATGCAACATTTCGCTGATCCTGCCTTCTTCAAGTCTCCTGTTCATCAGATTTCTCTCGGTCAGTATTTTAATGGTCTTTCGGATCTTGCGTCTTCTCGTATTTTCACCATATCCAGCCGACATATCGGTCGATTTCCAGTCGATTTCGTAATTCGTCGTGCAATGTGTTCCCGAACAATCAAGTATGTCCGTCTTCTCGTGTTGCGTCGACAGACTTGTGAAAAGTGTTTTCTTCTTCTTTTTTATAACATTGATATTCCATTTTCCTAATACAGGTCGCAATTGTTGGCTCACTTGTGATGAGGGGCAAGCAAATCCACTTTGGGTTATTATCCTCAATCGTGATCTGATTTTTATAAAATCCAAGTTGAAATAGGCCCTTTATAACCTCTACATTTTTTTCTATAAATTCTCTGGGGTATCCGTTACTAAGGCAAATCGGTATCAGTTTGTTTAACTGCTCGTCCTAGAACTCATTGTCCGTTAATCGTAAGCTTCGGATGATAAAACTCCTT